TGTGAGCCGGCGGGCGGGGCCGCGGGGCCGCGGGCCCGGGGAGACGGACGGACGGACGGACGGACAGGGCGACAGCCCCGAGCGCCAGCGGGGCGAGGGAGCGAGGAACCCCCAGGAGCTACCGGGGGGACCGGGGACCCTCCGCCCCCCTCCTCACTGCTCCCGGCCCGGACAGGCGGACAGACCCCCCCCGCCCCGCCCCAGCCCGCGCCCTGTGGGCTGGATGGACGGACAGACAGACAGACACACACCTCCGCACCCTGTGCCCTGAGAGTGCCTGGTGCGGGCAGGTCATTTCTTGAGGGGGCGGGACGGACAGATGGACAGTCAGACAGACAGACATCCTCCCTAAGTGCCCTGGGATGGACAGGCGGACAGACAGACATCCCCCCTACATCCCCTGGGATGGACAGACAGACAGACAGACATCTTCCCTAAGTGCCCTGGGATGGACAGGCGGACAGACAGACATCCCACCTGCATACCCTGGGATGGACAGATGGACAGACAGACAGCCTCCCATATATCCCCTGGGACGGACAGACAGACATACATTTCCCTCTGCATTCCATGGGATGGACAAACAGATGGACAGACAAACATCCCCCCCTTCATTGCCTAGGATGGACAGACAGATGTTTTCCCCTACATCCACTGGGATACACAGACAGACAGACATCCCCACTACATGCCCTGGAACAGATGGACAGACAGACATTCCCTGCCTCTACATCCCCTGGGACGGAGGCAGACCCTACTCTCCCTGTGCCAGCTGGAGCAGGACAGGGCAGACTGACAGACGTTCCCCTAAGACACAGGCAGAGAGACACTGCCCTGCATGTGCCAGCAGAGAGGCACCTGCTGCAGTGGGATGGGCTCCATGAGCAGGGACAGACAGACAGACAGACACCGGCCTGACAGTGGGTGGGTGGCAGAGCACCCCTTGCCCCCCTTAACCCCCCAGCAGGGAGCAGACACCCCCTACCCCACCCACCCCTGCTGCCCTGAGCCCCCACAGACAGACGGACAGGGCAGACGGACAGACAGACAGCACAGGGGGATCCTGACCTCATCCCCCCCACCGGGACGGCTGCGGGTTGAACATTAACCCCGGGGCTGGCACCGTTCCCGGGGCGGGGGGGCCGGATCTGTGCCGGAATCTGCTGGCTCTCAGCCGCCGGCTGCGCCCGCTCCGCCGGCCCGGCTGGTTGCTGGTTGCTGCTGGGTGGTGGTGGCTTTGCCAGCCCAGTTTGACCAGTCCCTTGACTGGTCCCACACCAATTTGCATTTCTTTCCCCTTTTTCCCTTCCCTTCACCCCCACCAGCGCCGTCCCCAGGCCCCCCGCGAGTGTCCCCAACTGCTCCCACCCCACTGCCAGCTCCCGTCCGGCCGCTTCAGTCCAAACCAGTGTCCCCCAGTGCCACCGAAGGGGTCTCTGGCTTGCAGGCAGCTGCCCGGCACCCTGCCTGCTCCATGACGGCTGAACGTGGGCTATGGGAGCCTTTTCTAGCGTCTTGGGGGGGGGTCCCAGTGCGGCAGTGGAGGGAGGCACAGTGGGGGCTGAGTGGAGCAGAGGGGACCCTCCCGCACCCATGTTGGTGTCACCTGCCTGGGTGGGTGGCAGGGGAAGGCGCTGGGACCCTGGTGTCCCCCGGGAGGGGGTGGCCATGGGGTGTGCTGCAGCCCTGCCTTGCTGGGGAGGGGGGGGTCTGGTGCTCGTCCCCCCTACCCCAGGCGTAAGTGTGCTTTTGCCATCTCTTCCCTTGCAGTGTGTCTTCGACGACCTCAGTGGCTCTGTGTCACTCTCCTGGGTGGGCGACAGCACGGGGGTAAGCACTGTGGGGGTGTTGGGGGGGGGCCCCCCCAAAGTGGCTGTGGTTCCCTCTGCATGGGGGACAACAGTGGCCCCCTCCTGTGTCCGAGGGGCTGTGGGGCTGGTGGGACCTGAAGTAGGGATAGGGGGGTCTCTGGGGAGGGGACGGCCCTTCTCCCTGGGGGGAGCCCATGTCTTGGGGCAGGGGGGGGCCTTGGAACTCCAGGTGTGACCCTGCCTGTCTGCCTCTCCCTGCCCAGGTCATCCTCGTCCTGACGACGTTCCAGGTGCCACTGGTGATCATGAGCTTCGGGCAGTCCAAGCTCTACCGCAGGTGAGCCCCCCCACCCTCAGAACCCCGCAGGTGGCACACCGGGGACTGGCACGCACGGTGGGTTGGGGGTGGGCTGGGAGCAGCCCCCGCATCCCCACGCTGGCTCACTGCCCTGCCGATTCCTCCCTTCCAGCGAGGATTATGGGAAGACCTTCAAGGACATCACCAGCCTCATCAACAACACCTTCATCCGGACTGAGTTCGGCATGGCTATTGGCCCGGAAAACTCAGGAAAGGTAGGAGGGGGCGGCGTGCCAGGATGCCAGTGAGCCAGGACCACCTGTCTGCGCCCAGCAGCCCCCCACTTCGGGCTCGCCAGGTTGCAGTGTTTTCTTGTTTTGGAGCTCCCAGCACGGCTGAGCCCCCTCCTTCCCCGCACCCAGGTCATCCTGACAGGCGACGTGTCTGGTGGCAGCCGCGGCGGCAGGATCTTCCGCTCATCCGATTTCGCCAAGAATTTTGTCCAGACAGATTTGCCTTTCCACCCCCTGGTGCAGATCACCTACCACCCCCAAAACTCCAACTGCCTGCTGGCCCTCAGCACCGAGGTGAGGGCCAGGGAGCCAGAATGAGACCCTGGCTGGGGATGGCTAAAGCTCCTGGTGGTGTTTCCCCAAGGGTCGGCCGGATCGTGGCCATGTGTCCTGGGCTCCATCCCCGTGCCTGGAGGAAGCGTGTGGTCCCAGGATAGAGGGCGGGGGGGGTGGACACATGGTTGGGGATGGGGATTTGCAGTCCCAGAGTTGCTGGGGGGTGGTGGTCGGCCATAACCAACCTCTCGGCTCTTGCAGAACGGCCTCTGGGTCTCCAGGGATTTCGGGGAGACATGGGAGGAGATCCACAAAGCCGTCTGCCTGGCCAAGTGGTGAGTGGCTGCCCACTTTTGCAGGGTGGGGAGGATGATTTTGGGGGGGGCAATCACAGCCTGAGCAGGCAGGGGGATCCCTACCCACCCACCCAAACCCCTCAGAGCGATGGGATGAATTTGCAGGTGCTGACATCCTGGGCCACTGTGTCCTACCTGCTTTCGGGTATCCCCCCTGCCCCACTTTGTCCTTTTCTTCCCCAGGGGTGCGAATGACACCATCTTCTTCACCACCTACCTGAACAACTCCTGCAGTAAGTACTTCTTGATCTTGAGTCACGTCTCTGGGGTCCCCATTACTTGGGGGGGTCTCCGCCGGGGTGGGGGGGCTCTGCAGGGGCAAAGCCTCCCCACCCCAGCAGAGCGCCCCACAGAGAGTGTGGTGGTCCCAGCAGAAAAGCTGGGAATATCCAAAGCTGGGACACTAGAGGGGGACATATTGGGACACTGGGGGGGGACACAGCTCCAGCGGCAGCTGACGAAGCTGGAGGAAGCTCCAGGCTCGTTAATCCACTGTCCCTTCTTCTTAAGAAGCTGATCTGGGGTTACTGGAGCTAAAGAAAACCTCCGACTTCGGCAAAGCCTTCAAGGTCATCGGCACCAAGATTTATTCCTTCGGGCTGGGAGGACGCTTCCTTTTCGCCTCCGTTATGACAGAGAAGGTCCTTGTCCCCCTTCCTGGCACTGACGGAGAGCAGGCAGCGGTGGCTCATCCCTGCCTGCAGCTTTCCCCAGCATCCCCTTCCTCCCCCTGTGAGGACGAAGGATGATGATGTTTTGATTCCTCAGGGTACCACAAGGCGCATTCATGTCTCCCTCGACCAAGGCGAGACCTGGAACATGGCCCAGCTCCCCTCTGTTGGGCATGAGCAATTTTACTCCATCCTGGCCGCTAATGATGACCTGGTGTTCATGCATGTGGACGAGCCAGGCGGTGAGTGGGACAGGGCCATGTTTGATGGGGACAGGGACACATCCCAGGGCTGGGGAAACAACTGGAAACCTCTCTGCAGCAAGCAAGCCAGCTCCTCACCTGAGCACAGGGCTCTCCATGCAGCAGTAGCTCTCCTGTGCCCTGGAGGAAGGACTTTCTTGTTAAGGCATCACTAATTAGCAGGCTGCTTGCTCCGGTTTGCAACGTGAAGGGACTGTGACCGTGCTGGGTCCGCTTTGCGGCACTCGGGTTTCTCCTCATCCTGAGATGCCCCAGGAGTTCGCTGGTGCTGATGCCAGTCTGTGATGGCCCCGTGGGAGCAGCCCCCCGGCCCCCCCCCTCACTGCTGTCCCCATGTCTCTCTTGCAGACACGGGTTTTGGCACCATCTACACCTCTGACGACCGCGGCATCGTCTACTCCAAGTCCTTGGAACGGCACCTCTACACTACCACTGGTGGGGAGACCGACTTCACCAACGTCACCTCGCTGCGGGGCATCTACATCACCAGCGTCCTCTCTGAAGGTGGGCGGCCACGTCTCTGTCCCTGTCCCCCCCCCGGCCCTGAAACTGGGGTTCTGCCTCCCAAGGGACGGGATCTGGGACCTGGGGTTGCTGGAGGGAGAACGTGACCCCGTGCAGGGGGGGCGAGGACGTGCTGGGCATCATCCTGACCCCATCAGCTCTTCCTCCTCCTCCCACCAGACAACTCCATCCAGTCCGTGATCACTTTTGACCGCGGTGGGGAGTGGGTGCCGCTGCGGAAGCCCAAAAACACCACCTGTGACTCCACAGCCAGGAGCAAGGAAGAGGTGGGTCTGTCCCCCCCTGGGGGGGGCGGCCCTGGTGCCGTTCCCCTGGGTATCCTCCATCTTGGCTCTGCCAAGGGGGTGCTCGGGAGCGAGCGAATCCATCCTGCAGCTCCCACCAGCGATGCTGAGGGTGTGGGGCCAGCCGTGCGTGGGCTGTGGGTCGCACCATGGGGCTGCATGGCAAGCCCTGAGCAGGCTGGGGGGTGGTTCTACAGGTCGCTCCCCAGCATCCACCAGGAGTTAATGGGTGAATCCGCCCCCTCCGTGCCCTGTCCCCACGGGCTCCTGGACGGGCTCTCCTCTTGCACTTGCAGTGCAGCCTCCACATCCACGCCTCCTACAGCATCTCCCAGAAGCTGAACGTCCCCATGGCTCCCCTCTCCGAGCCCAATGCTGTTGGCATCGTCATCGCCCACGGTACCGAGCCTCGCTGGGGTGGGTGGCGGGGACAGAGAGCCTGTATTCGTGTGTGTGTCCCCAACTTGTGCTATCCCCCTCTTCCAGGGAGCGTTGGGGGGGCCATCTCGGTGATGAGCCCCGACGTCTACATCTCAGATGACGGGGGCTACACCTGGGCACGGATGCTGGAGGGGCCGCACCATTACGCCATCCTGGACTCGGGCGGTCTTATCGTCGCCATTGAGCACACCAGCCAGCCCGTCAACATCATCGAGTACGTACAGGCTCCCCTTGCTGCGGAGAGGGGGGCTTGCTGTTTTTTTTGGGGATCGCCCAAGCAAAGGGGGGACTGGGGGGTGCTGCAGGAGGTGCCTCCCGGACCACCTGGGTGCTGATTGACCCCTCATGTGCCAGGTTCTCGACGGACGAAGGGCAGTGCTGGTATCGGTACGCTTTCTCCAAGGACCCCATCTTCTTCACTGGCCTGGCGTCCGAGCCGGGGGCTCGCTCCATGAACGTCAGCATCTGGGGATTTCGGGGGAGCTTCCTCTCCCGCAAGTGGGTCTCCTACACCATCGACTTCAGCGAGCTGCTCAGCAGGACCTGTGAGAGCTGCTGGGGACAGCCGGGGGCTGGGGACAACCAGGGCCGGGGACAGCTAGGGCTGGGCTGGGGGATGCTTTTGGCCCCAGCCCTTGGTGCGGGTGATGTTAGCAGTCTTCCCCAGAGGAGTGTGGCCTTTGGTCCCCACCGTGGGGATGGTGTGACGGGGAGAGCGGTCGTGATTTCCACGCCCTGCCAGTGGCTCGTGCTGGGCTGCTTCCCCGCCCAGAGCAGCGTTCTGCTGAACACCGCGGCGGTGCCGTCCCCCGGGGACCCCTCCTCGGCCGTGCCGCTGAGCCCTCTCCCTTGCAGGTGAGGACAAGGACTACACCATCTGGCTGGCGCACTCCAGCAATCCCAGCATCCCCAGTGACGGCTGCATACTGGGCTACAAGGAGCAATACCGACGTCTCCGCAAGTCCTCGGTGTGCCAGAACGGCCGGGACTACATGGTGACCAAGCAGCCGACTGTCTGTCCCTGCACACTGGAGGATTTCCTCTGGTAGCCTCCATCTTCAAGTCTCCCACCTTCTTGTCCCCGTTTTGGACCAGATGTTACCCTCCTTTAGCCTGGCTCCCGCTGGGTCCCCGAGCAGGGTCTCATCTCCTTTTCATCTTTTTCTTGCAGCGATTTTGGCTACTACCGCCCAGAGAACCAGTCCATCTGTGTGGAGCAGCCGGAGCTGAAGGGACACGACCTGGAATTCTGCCTCTACGGCAGACGGGAGCTGCTCAAGACCAGCGGGTAAAGCTCAGCCGGTGTCGATGCTGGAGCCAGGGTTGGGGAGGAACAGGGTGGAAACCCCAAATCCCTGAGGAATCCTTCACCCCACACCCAGAGGGGACAGATCCTGCCCCATCGCCTTGGTTCGGGGCTGGCAGTCCCTGGGAAGCAGCTGTGGGGTCACCAGGTGTCCCCTCCCCATCTCCAGGTATCGGAAAATCCCTGGGGACAAGTGTTTGGGAGGGGAGAGCCCAAGTCGGCAGGAGACGGACATGAAAAAGAAATGCACCAGCAACTTTCTCAACCCCAGCCAGCTGGTAGGTGACAGTGACACTGGCCGGGCGCAGTGACAGCACTGGGCATCGGGCCATCTCCTGCCTGTACCCGTGGAGCCAATAAATTTGTGATGGGCAGGACTGTCCTGCCTAAATCTGCCCAGGGCCTCTTGCCTGCCTGAATCCTGGCTGGGTGCTGCAGTGACTTTGTGGCTTTTATCCCCCAGGATAAACCGGGGTGCTGGTTGTGTTTGGGGAGGGGACGTTGGTACCCCCCAGTTCTGGACGCTTCCTCCTCTCCCTGCAGGCAGCATCCACCAGCTCTACCCCCATCATCCTGGCCGTTGTGGCCGTGCTGCTCATCACCGCCATGGCTGGAGTCCTCCTCGTCAAGAAATATGTCTGCGGGGGCAGGTGAGGAGCTGAGCCAGGGCTGGATGTCCGTCCCCCCCTCACTGTAGGGCAGGGATGACACTGTCCCTCCCCAGATCTCTCGGCAAACCACCCTCCCCCAGGCTGACTTTGCACTGGAGAGGCTGCGGAGCGCCCACGTGCCCCGGTGCTGCTTTCACCCAGCTCCACTCTCTGCAGGATGAGCGTGTCCTTGCAGTGGGGGGGCTTGGTGGAGGTACAGGCAGCACGGTTACTTGTCCCGTCTTCCCCCCCCACTCCTGCCAGGTTCCTGGTCCATCGCTACTCCGTCCTCCGGCAGCACGCAGAGGCCAACGGCGTGGAGGGGATGGACGCACTGGACCCCGGCACCCCAGCCAGCAAGGGCGGGTACCACGATGACTCCGATGAGGTGAGCGTGGGGGTCCTGGCGTCCCCCCATGGGGACCCCCCCCTTCCAATGGGTCAGCTGGGAGGCAGGACGGGGAGCCATGCTGGGGACAGCTGTGGGTGACGGTCCCATCTCTCCTCAGGACCTCCTGGAGTAGCAGCACAGCAGCGCCGATGCTGGGGACACCGCTGCGCAGGCAGGGCCCCCCCGTGCAGGCAGGGCCCCCCTGCACCCACTGCCTGCTGTGGCCGGGGGCGGCTTTGCTGCTGGGGGGCACACACACGCAGGGGTTTAACTTAACTCCAGTTTAATATTTCCTTCCAGCGTGGGGGGCTTTTATGGTCTTTTATTTTTCCCTTTACTGGGCTGTTTTATTTTAAGGACAACTGAGTAGGAACTGCCCTCCCCCGTGGGGAGCAGCCTCCTGTCCCCCCCTCTGACGGCAGCATCGTTCCCGGGGTGCTGGGGATGAGCCCCGAGGTGTTACCGCTGCTGAGGGGGGGCTTGGGGGGCAGCAGCTAGGCTTGCCTGCAGCTCCCAGCCCCGCTGCCTGTTTCTTCTCCAAAGCAATATGAGCTGGGCTGCTGCCAGGGCCCCCCTGGCCCCCCCACCTTGGGGGGGGGGGCCCATGGCTGTGGGGTAATGGCCCAGCGCTGGCCCCCCCAGTCTCCCCCCCACCCCCCCGGGCTGGCCTTGGCCGAGGGAAACGCAGCAATAATGAATTAAAGCTTGAAGCTCTTTACCAAGGGGCTGGTGAGGGCTCAGCCAGGCCATCCCCCAAGCCGGCAGCGGTGCAGGCAGGATGCAGGCAGGGTGGGAGGGGCTACAAGCAGCACCCCCCCCCCGCATGGTGGGTCGGTTCTTCGCTTGCCCCCTTGCTGTGCCAGCCCCCCACCCCCTTGCCCCCTGCCAGGTTTTGGTCCCAGCACTGTTACAGTCTCCTTACACTGGAAATCCCCTTCTTTTCGGGGGGGGGGGGTTGCACCCCACGACAGACCCCCCCACACCTCAGCTGAGGTGTGGGGGTTTTATCTGACTCCCCCCAGCCAGGGTGTGGGGGCTGTGCCTGCCCCCCCCCCCAAGCTAGGTCATGGGGTGCAGCGGGATGGGGGTGCAAGAGGATGGGGGGGTGCAGACACCCCCCCATGCCCCTCAGCCCCTTGCGACCCACCATGGCTATTGCGATACGGCTGTGCTGTCATGACACATGGCTTCTGCTCTCGCCCCAGCGACTGTGCAAAGCCTGCTGCCCACCCCCCCCCGGCACGGCACGGCACAGCACAGCACACCAAGCGCCGGCAGGATGGGGGGGCCCCGGCCCCAGCACCCCTTGCATGTGCTTCAGTGTCTCCCTGGGACTCGCCTGGGGACGGGGACGGAGCGTAACCCCCCTAACTAAAAGCCATAGCCCTGCGCCCCCCCCACCCCGGCCCCCTGCCCCAGCCTTGCTGGTGGCGGGGGGGGACCGAGGCCAGTGCAGAGTCCTGTAAATAAACCTGGATGTGTTATAACTTTGTACTGGTATTTTTCTGTATATTTGCAATATTTGGGTTATTAGAAATAAAGCCAAAACGGACCCTGTGTGCCCTGATCTGTGTCGGGGAGGGGGGGGAGCACGGAGCGGGGGGGTCACCCCTTGCAGGGGTGATGCTGGAGAGGACCCTGGGGGTGGCGGTAATTATAAAGACTATAATTTATTCCAGTTTAAGGCAACTCAATACAAACCCACAGCAGATGCACACGCAACATGGGAAGGGGGGGTAGCACGGAGAGGGACCGCCCATGCAAGTAGAAAAGTGAAGGGGGGGGGGGGCACAAAAAAGGACCTGGGCCCCCTCTGGGAGCAGCCAGTACTTGCTGCGGGAGGACGGGGGTCT